TTTATAATTTTATTTTTAGCTTAATATACTATTTGTTTGGCTTTATACAAATTTTTAAAAAGTGTCTACAATAATATGATACCCCCCTGTATAATTTGCTTTACTGTTACCAATTTAATCATGAATATAATACGTAGCTATGTTGTAGATTTGCAGCTTGACTGAACAATAAAAAAAATTTTAGATCCTTTGCTATGAACTTTGGTGATCAATGATTACTTATTTACAAAACCAGTAAATTTACTAACTGTGTGTTATCTTAATTCTAAAAATTACTTTAAGCAAAAACACTAGTGGAATATTATCCTATGCTATTTTATGTTATTTGTAGCATCACAGTACTGTTAACCCCCTCTATAATCACACGTTTTGTTTACTTAATAACTTTTTTAAAAAATGTGCTTATAAAGAGGTTGTACTTATATAGAGGTAGTTTTTTATATGTTTAATAGTAATTTGTTTTTGAGTATAGAATATGATAAAAAGGGGTTTTTATATAATATGATTATAGAGGGGTGACTATAGAGGGGGATGACTGTATTAACACATTACTGCAATAGTATTATAATATTTAGATATAATAGCATTATAGTATTTCAATATAACAGCATTGTAGTATTATAGTGCAAAGCAATTATAACAAATAAAGTCAACTCTCTATATAATTACACGAGTTTTTACTTAAGAACTTTTTAAAAAACGTGCTTATAAAGAGGTTGTGCTTATTTGGAGGTAGTTTTTTCATAAGTTTAATAGTGATTTGTTCTTGAGTACAAAATGTGATAAAGAGAGGTTTTTATATGATGGGATTATAGAGAGGGTGATTATATAGAGATATGACTGTAATACAGTACATACCGTAACCATATTACACCTGTTTTTATAAATTTTGGAATATCTGCTAAAAAATTAGCCAACTGATATTTGGCTGCTTTGATAAGTTTTGATTAGGCAATGATTTGGAAATAATAGTATATATATTTCAATATAGCAATAATACTCTAAACTATAATGTCAATATATTTAAAATTAAAATTTTACTTGGTGTTTTTGGTATATATGAAAATTTTTAGTAATGATTGTTCTTGCCTACCAACAAATCTTAATACAAAATATAAAAGGTTCTGAATAATTATAATAAATATACTATATAAGAAGGCATTATTAAAAAAAAAAAAGTTTAAACAAATTTATTGACTGGACTAGAAAACCAAGATTTTATTAGTAATTATCACAGCTGAAATGAGAATTATAATCAACAATATTAAAGCAAAAATTTTATGTATTATTTTATGAGAATTGATATTTCCACACCCTTTTTTGATAATGCTACACCCCTGTAGATCATTTTAATTTTTTTAATTTTTTTTTAACTTTGATCAAAGATATCTCAACACTTATCTGTCTAAATTTGATTACTTTTTTTTATTTTTAATGTAGAAAGTCTTAGAATTCAAAGGAAAAAAAGATTATCAAATTTGGTTAGGTGGGTGCTGAGATATCTTCGATCAAAGATTTTATAAAATTCAAAATGTCTATCAAATATAAGTGCAGCAAATTGTTTACAAACTTTGATTAAAGATATCTTGGCACCCACCTGACAAATTTGATTAACTTTTTTTTATTTTAATTGTAGAAAGCCTTAGAATTCAAAGAAAAAAAATTTGGTCGAATTTGGTCAGGTGGGTGCCAAGATATCTTCGATCAAAGATTTTGTAAAATTCAAAACATCTATCAAATATAAGTTGCGGCAAAATTGTTTACAAACTTTGATCGAAAATATCTTGGCATCCACCTGACCAAATTCGATCAACTTTTTTTATTTTAATTGTAGAAAGCCGTAGAATTCAAAAAAAAAAAAGCTGATCGAATTTGGTCAGATGGGTGCCGAGATATCTTTGATCAAAATTTTGTAAAAATCAAAACATCTATCAATTATAAGCTGCGCAAAATTGTTTACAAACTTTGATCAAAGATATCTTGACACCCATCTGACCAAATTTGACCAAATTTTTTTTATTTTACTTGTAGAAAGCCGTAGAATTTAAAGAAAAAAAGTTGATCGAATTTGATCAAGTGGGTGCCGAAATATCTTCAATCAAAGTTTTTGTAAAATTTAAAACTTCTATCAAATATAAGCTGCAGCAACATTGTTTACAAACTTTGGTCGAAGATATCTCAGCACCCACCTGACCAAATTCGATCAACTTTTTTTTTTATTTTAATTATAGAAAGCTGTAGAATTCAAAGAAAAAAAGTTGATCGAATTTAGACAGGTAAGTGTCGAGATATCTTCAATCAAAGTTAAAAAAAAAGTTAAAAAATTAAAATGATCTACAGGGGTGTGGCATTATCAAAAAAGGGTGTGGAAATATCAATTCCCTATTTTATTTAAAGGTTTTAATTTAGGTTATAATGATTATTATAAAAATACTGTAAAAATAATCAGATAAAATTATTGAACAGTTGATCTAACAACTAAGAAGCCTTTAGCTTGTTTATCTGTAGTAAATCTATAATAAACCTTTTAAAAATTTCTAACTTATCTGAAGTAACTACAGTTGAATCTGAAATATACAACTTATCTAAAGCAATAGCAACTAAATTTATATAGCTTCCAACTTATCTAAAGCAATAACTAATATACTTTGAAAATATAGAAATCATTAACTTATTAAATCAGCCAAATATTCAGTCAATTTTTTTTACCAAATGTTTCAAAATTAAGAAAACAGCTGTAATTTGCCAAATTAATTCTACTGCAAATGCTAGGTTTACTTATTAGGTTACCTAAGTAGTGTTTTTCTGAATAGGTCAAATTGTTGATCCGGTCTGATATATTTTTTTGTGGTTTAGCTCACAAATCTGCTCATATAATAAGCTAAGCCACAAAAAAATATACTAGACTGGACCAGGCATGTTTAGACCCAGACTAATTTGTTTAGCACCAATATATATTCAAACTCAAACTAGTTTGCAAACTTCAAATCATACTCAGACCAGACTTATAATTAAGTTTGAGTCTGGTCTGAAGTTCGAAATTTAGTGTCTAAGTCTGGTTTGATCCTGGACTAGACCTGAACTAAACCGAACCCGAACTGGATCTAAGAGTACTATAGTAAACTATACTAAAATGCTGGCCCAAATTGTAAAAAATTTTATATTAGTAAATATGAAGTTTTTTTTAAAGGTAGAGGATACTATTTTAAAATTATATATAAACTTAATGGTAAATTTTTTTAATATTTAATCTACAAAAAATCATATTATCTAAACTAATTTTAATTTTTAAGAAGGTTTGTAAAGTAGGTTTTTCTGATTCTAATAGTAGTAAAATCATTAAAATTGGTTAAAAACTTAGTGAGATATAAATTTTTAAAGATTGAATATAAAAATTTATAATAAAATTAACTTATAGATTAACATAAATTAGCCAGTTAAATTTGGAAAGTTTGTGTAACCCTGAAAAATTTTGAGCCAACCCAGAAAACCTTTGTGATATATGTAAATATATTTTTTTAATAATATAATAGTTTAAAATTTTACTATAATAAATAAATTATTTTATAAAATTTTGGCTAAAATTTATTACAATTGTAAAAGGTTTTATTAGTAGCATATTATCAATTTCTATATAAATCTTATTGTACTACAAAAATCATATAACAAAATGATTTACATATCCTCTACCCTTAAATTTGATCCACTTCTGTAAAATATACAGTACAACTTTTTTTAAGGTTAGAATTTATGGGTTTTATTTTTAATTAAATATTTTTCATATAGCTTATATAACATTTCTTCATGATACAAATTTCAGCATAATCCCCCACAATAATTTTAAGTTTAAAGTTATTATTAATAATAAAAATCATGAATAACAATTATAATAATTAAACTATAATTTTGGTTTCCAATTTTTAATTTCCAAATATTTGATTCTCTCAACATACATTTCTTCTTTCAACATTCCATAAAAAGGCCTTGCCCTTGCAAATTTTGACCATTTAAAAGCCAATTCTTTTGCTTTAGGTAGTATATCATTTTCAGAAGCAATTATATCTACCAGTCCCTGGTCCAATGCATCTTGACTATTAAATCTATATGCTTGTAATACACAGTCACGGTAAGTTCTTGGAGTCATTTTAATTCTAAGTATCGCAGCCATACCAGGATAGAGTGAATAAGGGATTTCAACTTCGTTCTAATAAAAAAAATAAATTAGGGAAGACTAATAATAAACAGATTGATTTTTTTAACTAAAATAATATATATATATATATATATATTTAAGGAACGAAATTACCATATACAAGAAACCTTTATCAGCACGCATGACTCAATAATCTGAAATTGGGATATCAACAAATTGTTTAAAGTCCAAATATTCACATATTATATAAATAGGATAAATTTATTTGGTGCTCCCCATTACATAACACTTTTGTCATGGGTCACATGACACATAAATAGCCAATCAAAACGTAAGTATATTTAAATTTTATTAATTTTAATTAATATTTTTACA